TGGAGGCCGTAAGGCTGAGCTGTTGTAGGTCATAAGGCTGAGCTGTTGTAGGAGATCTCCAAGCTGATATGCGTGACGATGCATTATTTGTTTAATGTTGTTTTTGGCTGAATGATCTAAGTTGTATATTGTTGTGTTGTGTGCTGATCTTGCTGAATTAGATTGATGTGTTGATAAGCTAAAATTATTTATAATTGTTGTACTTATATATCTATATATTCTGATTCTTTTCACTAGCTTACCCTTTGTTTTTCCATGTGGTTTGGACTACAATGATTATACTGTGTATGGGAGCAGAGCAGGGATAGGTTGGTGTCTTGAGGCAGGTCTGTAGCTGGCAGATGGAGTTTATTTTTTTTTGTTATTTTTAGCTACTTAGTGTAGTAATTAGGCTGTATTTTATACTCTAATTTATAAGCCCCAGGCCAGACCTTGTGTATATATTTTAGCTGCTTATATATATATCATGCTCCTGTCTGTGTGGTGCTGTGGTGTTGTGTTGTGTGACGGCCAGGCGGGTTGTTACACTTTAGCCATTCTGGGATTCATCTAGAACGGTCCGTTCTGCATGTGATTTTTGTACGTGATGAAGGGGAGCAGAAAGGGTTGTTCTGGATTCAGAACAGGCCATTTTGGCCACTCCTGAACTTCTATAAATAGGGGTTGTGTGGTTAAGGAAAAAGTAAAGTTTTTAGAGAGAAATTTTAAAGAGAAGGACTCTGGGTCTGTGGGATTCTTTCTCTTCCAAATTTCTCTGTATGATTCCTTTTCTCCTCTAGATCACTAATGCCTTCTGTCTTTTCTTGAAATTCAGATTAGGAAGCTTGCTTTGGGAGGATTGAAGTTCCAGGTTGAGATTCGGAAGGGAATTCTACTTCTTCTCAGTTATTGGCTATTTTGAGCCAATCTTTAGGTAAGGGAAGCTAGAATGTTTGTTGTTTAGGTTGCATGTGAGTTTAGAAACTTAATTGATGCATGAATGTTGAGAATCCATAGATGGATTGAAGAAAATCTCATTTTCTAGGGTTTTGAGAAAAAAAGAGGATTTTGATGATTTTGATGCATAGGTTGGATGCATGTGAGATTTAAGTTTATTTTTTAGTCTTATGGAGCCTATGCATTGTGTTTTTGTGTTTGCATGTGGCTGGATTTATTGGTTTGGATGAGAGTTTTTGAACTCTCTGACTGGGATTTAGGCCGGGCGTAGGTTGAGCGCGCCGAGTGTGAAAGAGCTTAGAGCTCTCGGGTTGGTGTTAGGCCAGGTGTGAGCTGACTGCGTTGAGCCTGAATATGTTTATAAATTATTGTTTTAAATTGATGCTTATGCATGTTTAAAGTTGAAGTTTTAGATCATGTATGTATGATATATGATGTATGGTGATGTGTGATTCATATGTATGCTTGGTAACGATATATATGAATGTTCAAATATGATATGACATGTGTATATGTTCATATGAGTATGTTTATTGATCATGATGGTGGGAAGACCATGTATGATGTATGATGCATTATTGCATGTGATGTCTTATGACATGTGTATGATTGTTGATCATGATGGTGGGCAGACCATGTATGATGTATGATGCATAATTACATGTGATGCCTTATGGCATGAGTCTAGCCTAGAACTTGAGGAGAGGAAAAATATTTTCAAACTAGAAAAGCTCACATAGAGTCTCTAGAGAGTGGTGCTTGGATAGGCCACTGATATATGAGAGTGGTGCTCAGGTAGGCCACTGGATTTGGGTGTGGTGCTCAGGTAGGCCTCTGGGTTGGGTGAGTCTCCTCTAAGTCCTTAGCTAGTGTTGGAGCAGGGTATGAGGTCGAGGGTTATTCCCTAAACCAAGTACTCGGGAAGGTGCATGGATCCTTGCGAATAGTCGATGGGCGAACTCCACAATTGACTTGGTTATGCATGCCAAGGTCGTGGTAAACCCCATACCCAGTTGTGCTATACCTGAGGGCGGATCTGGACTTCCAATTGTGAAAGTCACATTGTATCCTACCGAAACCACCCCAACCGTTTTCACGCCCAATACGCTCGCTCGGTCACAACTAAACAGGATATAATCCTCACTTGGGTTTACTCGGATGATGTCACTTGCGCGACAACGCATTAGATGATTGATATGGATTGATATCTGTCATGAGATGCATTTATTACATGATTATTAATATGATGAAGTGTGGTGTTTGACTTCATGATTGGTGTATTGTATGTTATGCAGGAGTAGTATAAGATAGAGTGTATGGTGTGACTCTATGAATATGATTGATAGTTGGATGATTGTGTAGTATAGATTATTGTTCTATACTTGTATGATTGCTTCTTGAACTCTAGCTTCCCCTTCTGTTTCCATGTGGATGGACTACGATGATCATACCTTATACGGGAGTAGGTCAGGGCTAGCTTGGAGTTAGGGGGGTATAAAAGTGTAACGACCCGCCATGATCTTTACACTTAGTGGAATCGCACTACTACTAGTGAACTAAGAGAAATATTAAGTTGGATAACTCATACATACAGGTATAGATAAGAATAAAAATAACTAAGTTTCTTAAATACAAAATAGAACTCCATATATGTACATTATCCCAAAAATAATATTCCTTAGTGTCGGTCAAGCACAGACAAAACTGTTACCCAAAATGGTAACTCTAACACGAGGATCAAACTACCCGTCTCGCAGCGGTCACCTCAACTCCAAGCTATCCCTGACCTGCTCCCATACTTGTATGATTCATTTTGAACTCTATCAAATTGCCATGGCCTTCCTAGTAAGATAGGACAAGCTTCTATTGGTACTACAACACATAGCACCTCATCTTCATAATTCCCAATGGATAACTTGACCTTTACTTGTTGGTCAACTACTAGATCTCCATCCTCATTAAGCCAATGAAGTTGATAAGGTTTAGGATGGGGATTAGTAGTTAAGCCCAACTTCTGAACCAGCCTAGTGCTACAACAGTTGCACCATGACCCATTATCAACAATGAGAGAACAAGCATTGTTTAAAAGTTTACATCTTGTATGAAAAACATTCTCTCTTTGTGATAAGGTACCACTAGGTTGGTTGTTGAGGAGTCTCCTAATCATTAAGAGCTCCCATTCATAAGGAAAAATATCCTACACATTCCTTTCATGCTCACTTGCTTCTTCCTCACTATCACTAAAGGAAGTAGTAGTCTCTTCTTGACTACTATAAGTGTCATGTCCCCTCCTGATCATAACTTTTTTTGTGGGACATTGAGAGGCAATGTGGCCTCTCCCTAAACACTTAAAGCACTTAATATCACTAGTCCTAGAGCTCGTGTGTGGAGTGACCTTCCCTTTTCCCTTATCCTTCTCCAAAGCTATATCCTTGGAGGGTGTAAAAGTTTTCTTCCTTTCAAAAGATTTTCCCTCCCTCTCGAAATCTTTCTTTAAAGATGAAGAGTGGGAGATTTCTCTTTTGTAAGAGGATTTTCTCAATATTTGTTGTTCTATCCTTACACAAAGTTGGACCAAGTCATTTAGGTCCATGTAAGGTAGAAGCTCCACTTGGTCTCTTATCTCTAAATTAAGACCACTCATAAATCTAGCTACAGTAGTAGCTTCTTCTTCCCTTGTGCATACCCTCATCATATGAAGCTCCATTTGGTGCCTGTGCTGTTCTATAGACATATCCCTTTGTTGAAGCCTTTGGAGCTTATTCATAAGCTCCCTTTCATAGTATGTAGGAATGTGCCTCCTTCTCATAACACTTTTGAGATCATTCCAATATTGAATTGGAGGATCATTATGGAGGCGTCTTTCTCTTCCTAAGGTTGTCCACCAATACATGGCTTGCCCTTGGAAGCTAAGGGTAGCCAGAGGGACCTTCTTCTCTTCACTTACCTTGTGGCAAGCAAAGAGTCGCTCAACCTTCATCTCCCAATCTAAATACAACTCCACATCATTTTTTCCAACAAATTGTGGGAGGTCAACTTTGACTTCCCTAGGCTTAATGGTTCTTCTAGGTGTGGGTTGGTAGTGATCCCCCATGTTCAAACTTTCATTTGGGGATGAGTATTGGGAATGTGAGTTCCTACTCCTTTTCTTTTGTTTTCTCATGTCTTCTTTTAATTTTTCTTCTTCTAGTTTATGAATTTTCAATTCTTCCTCTAAATAAGCAAGTTGGCCTTCTCTTTCAATTCTCTCCTTCTCTTTTTGAATGGCCTTTTACTTTCTCCATAGTTTAAGTGATTTGAGCTCTTTGGTTAAGTAAGAAAGACTTTTTGGAGAGCTATCACTTTCACTAGGTTAGAGTCTTGAGACATTTTTAAACAAGAAGTTTTATCACACAAAAATAGTTTTTTAATCAAAATAATATTTTTGGAGTGCTAGACTTGGCACTTGGAGGTCTAAGAGTACAAATTGAACTATGAAGGGAGGTGAGCTACTAAAAAGCCACTTAATAACCAAGCCTCTTCAAGTAAAAATCTTTAAACTCCCTTGTACTTTTGCATTGCACAAAAATAATTTTCACAAAGATATTTTCAAAAGAGAAAATAACAAATAAGTGCCTAATGTGTACAGTTATCAATGCTTGAAATTATAAATTGCTTGAAAAAATAAATGACATGAAAACATAAATTGATTGAAAACTTAAATTGTTGAAAACATAAATTGCTTAAAACATAAATTGCATGAAAACCTAAATTGCAAGAAAACTTAAAGGCAAGAAAACATAAACTAGGCGTTTAAAGCTATAAACCTAAGTGAGAGCTTGGAAAGTATCAAAGACTTCCAAGGACTACTCTCACAAGTACAACACGTTTTTACCTACTTGAAAACACTAAGGAGAGATGGAGATACACCAAAGGCACTCCAAGACACTCCTAAGAAAGGCCTTGTACAAAAATGGAATTGTTGAAAAATTGACAAGAAATGAAATGTAAATTTACACCAAATGAAATGAAAATTTACACCAAATGAAATGTAAATTCACATTCACATGAAATACAAATTCACATTAAATGAAAATACCATCGTATGATCCCCTGTAAAGGACGAGGGAACAAATGAAACCACACAAGTTCGACGGTGAGAGGTAAGGAATAGTTATTGAAGTCCCTGCTTTTTGAAACTCACACTTGTCGGTCACATGGTCTCCTGGGAACATGAAAAACTTACCGAAGTTAAGGCTCTGTGAGCGACTCAACATGTGTTGTAATGCTATCCGTTGAGTGAAATCTGTCCCTAGAAGAGTGCAGTTAATGGCTTTCACATATGTCACAGATGGTGGAAGCTGTGGTAGAGACTCGAGTTTCCTACAATCATTTAACAAAAGCCTGTCAAGGGATGGTGGAAGCTGTGGCAGAGACACGAGTTCCCTACAGTCATTTAACTGAAGACTTTCAAGGGATGGTGGAAGCTGTGGCAGAGACACGAGTTTCCTACAGTCAATTAACTGAACAATTTCAAGGGATGGTGGAAGCTGTGGTAGAGACACGAGTTCCCTTAAATCACTTAAACTAAGCACACCCAGTGATGGTGGAAGTTGTGGCAGAGACACAAGGTTTTGACAATTTTCCAGGTGAAGTACTTGCAGCAGTGAAAGGTTTTGGATGTTTGCAAACAAGCTCACATCATTAATTCCACTTAACCATAACTCTTTTAAAGATGATAAGTTTCCAAAGTTGTGGTGGGTATGGCATGCATTGTGCTTCACACACTCAGAATGGTTCAGTGTTGTAATCGACCCCATTCCTCCTTCATCTGATAACTTTTCAAAATTGTTTGAGACTGTTAGAGTAAGTTTACTAAGTTTCCTATTTTCCCAAATTGATGACGGCAATGCACTTATAGTGGTTTCCAATAACTCCAAAGTAGTCATTTCCTTTGATGTAATTGAGAATTCCTTGAGAGATGATGAACAACCCAAGGTGCTAAGTTTACGAAGAGATTTTGAATGAACTTTAAGGATATCAATTTTTGAAAGTCCAAATAACTCCAACTGTGTGAGCTTAGGGAGAGACGTGATGGACGGATGGAGCTCACGCAAACTTATACAATATTGAAGAGAAATACGTTCAAGTTTTCTTGCCATAGATAAGTCCGGCATCTCAACCAGCTCTGGCAAGTCATCTAAGAGAATTGTCTTTAAATTCGAAAGATCCTGTAACAAGAAAGATGCATCACAATGTTAAGAAAAAATTTAAATTGATAATCATGGGCCTTAACTAAAAGAGAAACCTAACTAGTTACCATTCAAGGCTCACTTGTACCTTTAAAAACTTAGAGAAAAAAAATGTAGCAAGTATAGTCACATTTCTACCTGAACCCCATTCCAAAGCCTTTTAACCTTGCTCAGAGACAAGTGAAGCTCTACAAGTTGTTCAGCACAAAAGTTAGACGGCAAAGACTTGAGACAAAATCCATGCCATTGAAGGTACCTCAATTTATAAGAGAATGACTTGAGACCATGAGGAAGGGACACATTAAATTTTTTTTTATTCCGGTGCTTTGTATGGATTTTAAGAAATCTCACATTAGGCATCTTTGCAAGGAAATCAGAGCTCAAACACAGATCCTCAGTTAATGTATCCAAATTTTAAATTATCCCTTCAACATCATCAGTTCCCTGTTAAAAAAAATTAAAAATAATAATTGGTTGGGCTATCATACTAGCTACAGTACATAAATAAACCATTAAATTTTCCACTTACCTTGTTATATTTCAATACTTCATACACTTCATCATGTTTCCATAATCGACTTCGTCTTCCCGGATCTTTGATGGATTCTTGATAAACAATTTCTTGACCCATTTGTTGTATCAAGTCATGCATTTCTATCGAATTGTAATTTGAAATTGTTATGAGAGCTTTGTCCAAAAGGACTTCGATTCCAGATACTGCAAAGAAACCACAAGCTTCTAGTAGACTTGTTACAGAATTCTTGTTTTCTCCTTTCAGTAAGCAGGCAATGTCTAAAAAGATGTTCTTTTGAGAACGATCTAAGCCATCATAACTCAATTTTAAAATGTTATGAATTTGCATATTTGGAATCTTTTGGAGTTTTCTCAATTCACTTTCCCATACCTCTTCACTTCTTCGACGAAGACTTGCACCCATAACTTTTAAAGCCAAAGGAACGCCTTTACAATAGGAAACTACACTTCTTGAAAGATCTTCATATCCATGTTTAGGTTGTTTTTCTCCAAAAACAGTCAAACAAAAAAGTTGAAGAGATTGATCAGAGCTCAATTTCTTGACCTCATATACTTCATCAACTAGACTAAAAATTTGTTTATTTCTAGTTGTAACAATGACTCTACTTCCTGGCCCCAACAAATCATAATCTTCAACTAGATATTCTAATTGTTGTAAGGTGTCCACATCATCCAACACAATTAAAACCTTTTTATGTTTAAGCTTACGCCTCACAAAATTCATATCAAAACAATGATTTTCAATCTCTAACAACTTGGCGAAAAGTTTGTTATGTAAAGCTTCAAGTCCATTATGGCTGCTTGAATTTTCCCTTACATTTTTCAGGAAACAACAACCTTCAAACCGAGGAGACAATCTTGCATACAAAGTAGTGGCTAGGGTGGTCTTTCCTATGCCACCCATACCCCATATTCCAATGGTTATCACTTCAGTTGACCCAATTTTCAGTAATGATTCAATTTCCTCATAATTGTCCTCAATTCCTACCAGACCTTTAAGTTGGTTTTGGTATGTAGGAGTCAATTTTTGCAAAACATCTCCAACAATTTCCTTAAGGAGTTCTGATTCAGTCCTAGCATATGAAAGAAGAAACAATGAAATAAATGTTGTGTTATGAGCCTAACAAATACAATAGAAAAAAAAATAATTATACAAATGATTATACATAATCATAGATCAATATGTTAGAATAATAGAGAAAATGATATAATTGAGGAATAAAAATTCAATGACTTAGAGAAGATAAACAATATCTATGTTTTTTCTACACAATGAACTTATTTAAACTACCATGGAAATTATTATTCTACATACGCATGCGCTCATGCATCTAACGCAACTAAAAGTTTCCAAATACACATAAAGAATCTATGGATAGAATAAAATAAAAGTTATAAAAGAGTCGGCTTATTGAAGATATCGATATTAAAATTTATTTTTAGGTTATTGAATAGAAAATATTGGAAATATTTTTCAATAGTGAACTTCATTGTTAAATTATGATGCAAATTCTAGAAAAGAAAAGATTATTCTAGAAACATAAGATAATTGTATAAGAAAGAAGAAGAAAAATCTAGAAACATAAAGATAAAATGTATAAGTCTCTAGAAAAATCTAAAAGAGTGTAGAGACTTGAAAAGTTTAGAAAATTCTAGATATTTCCACCATCAACTAGAGATGGAGCATCATGCCTATAAATAGGCAAATTAGAGCTTCATTGTAATATCAACAACATCAACAACAATTACCACAACTACTACTTCTCTCTCAATACAAATAAGTTTCTATTATTCCTCCAACTATTCCCTTGACAACTATCATATACTAACAGTGGTACCAGAGCTACGTTTGGTCATCTACTGGGCGTAGAAAAATCACCCAACTATTTCCAAAATTCCCTTCTATACTTATAAACAATTTTCTTTGATCTATGGCCTCCAATACCGTTAATTTTTCATCTGTCCCTTTACCAGTTTTTACTGGTGAAAATTTGATCTTTTGAAGCTTAAACTAAAGACATACTTTATCTCACAAAAACTGTGGGATATCGTTCAATCTGGTTATACAAAACCAGATAATACTATCACTCTGTCTAAGGAGGAGCAGAAGAAGTTAGAAGATTGTGAACAAAAGGATGCACAAGCACTATTTGTTCTTCAACAAGCTGTGGGAGAAACTATTGCTAGAAGGATCATGGACGCCGATACTGCAAAAAAGGCATGGGATATTTTGGAAGAAGAATTTGAAGGCAATGAACAGGTACGCTCCGTCAAGCTACACTATCTAAGAAGAGAATTTGAGACCATTAAAATGAA